CTTCTCTCCAGCTCCCTCCGTCTCCTCACATAAAGATGAGATGAGCTCAGACGGGTGTGACTTGGCCCTGTGCCCAGCTCAGGGGAAGCACCGTTCAAGCTGGTGAAGACAGCCATGTCTCCTCGATAATCTGTCCGCCTGCCTCCACTGGGTCAGGGGAACAACATCAGGCCCCTCATCTCTGGTCTTCCAGGCCCCCAGCGCCTGAGTCAGGGCTGGGTATGAAGAGGAAACAATTTCCTGACCCCTAGGTCCAGGCTGCCGGAGCCATTGAGGGGCGTCAGACAGGGAGCATCCCCTAACGCCCAAGTGGCCCTAAGTGGCGGCCGGCATCGGGGCGGCTTCCTCTGACCTTAAACTGGAGTGCTCCTGCCCACATCTGCAGCTAAATAAACCAAGTAAATCATGCTGGCAGATAGATAATTAAATAATTATCAGGCACTTAATAACGAGGAGGGGGAGCCCTGCCTCTCCGCATTAGACAGAGTCTTTGAGGGCTAATTGTCGCATTACATCAGGGCCCCTCATTCATTCCTCTTGTCATTTCGGGTGATAATTTGCACTTTAGGAGACAGCGACAATTTTAGCAGGCAATTAGAGACGTGTCAGGCCTAGCCCTGTGAGTTACTGTCACAATTACTGGCCTCCCCCCCCTCCACCCCACCCCACTGTCCTCATTTGCAACCATGTATTTAAGGGGATTTGGGTAATTCTAGGCCTGGGTAAAACAGCCAACCCACAGGACAGTGGCGGGGTTGGGGATCAGGCAGCCAGCCGCCAGCATCCGAGCAGGGGAGGGACACTTGGCAGGAGTCCGACGGGCTGGGCACAGATCTGCAGGGGTGTGGAGTAGGGGCTTCTCATCCGCCCACAGAAGTCGCATCCAGTCACCCAGCCGTGGGGCGTGGGGCTGCGCTTCCCCGGTGACTCTTGCCGCTCCTGGTTCTTTACCTGCATCACTCAGCCTTTATAACCACCTGGATGCATGTGATGAGATCTTTGCAGGTCCCCGAGAGGCTGGAGGAAGAGAATTGGAAGAGGAGGAGAAGAGGAGGGGAAGGGAGGACTGTGTTTGCTGGGACTTTGAAGCTGCAATTTTATTTTCTGCAATTTGGCGTCTCGGGGACTTGTTGGGCCTGGGGACGGGCTGCCGTTTTCCAGGTCAGCTGACAGGAGCCTCTTTGCCTTCTGCGTATGCGTTGGGGGTGCAACCCTACCCACCTGCTTGCTTTGACCAGGATTCTACCACCCAGAGTGTTGTCCCCAACCCTGAGTCACTCTGAATCTCAGTGAGGCCTTTGTTGCTGTGATAACACACTGTGGCTAAGAGCAACCGGTGGAGGAAAGCGTTTATTTCAGCTCACACTTCCACATCACGGTCCATCACCGAGGGAAGGCAGGGCCGGGACATGGGAGGCAGGAAATGAGGTGACACCATGGAAGAACACCGCTTATCGGCCTGTTCCTCGTGGCTTGCTTAGCCTGATTTCTTGGACCACCTGCCCAGGGGTGGCACCATCCACAGTGGGCTGGGCCCTCCCCCATGAATCACCAATCAAGAAAATGTGGCTGGGGCCTCCCACATGAATCACCAATCAAGAAAAATGTCCTATATACTTTCCCACAGGCCGATCCTGTGGAGACATTTTTCTCACTGATGATCCCATTTTCCAGGCAAGCCTAAGGTGGCGTCAAGTTGACGTAGAACTATCCAGCATAGACGGGCAGTGGATAACCCAGGACTACCCCTGCCTAGAGTCCACTGAAGCCACCAAACAGACCGCCCTCCGTCTGCTTGCCCACCTAGACCTTCTCTTCCCATCAAACTATGGTAGCAAGCGCTGAGCTGTATTCACCCCTACTCTCTGCCTCCCCCTCCCCCATGGAACCCCGTGTGGCAGGCCCAGCCGCTCCCCTGGAGGGGGGACTGCGGCTGTGTAGCCAACTACCTTCTTACTGATCTGTCAGTCTCCCTTGGCAGGCTGGAGTTTCTTGTGGGAAAGAAGAGGGAGGAGAAGAGAGGGAGGGAGAGAAGAAGAGAGGGAAGGAGGGAAGGAAGCAAGGAATGAGACAGAGAAGGGGATGAGAGGAAAAAGGTCTTGAAAGAGGCAAAGAGAAGGAGGGATGGGCAAGAGAAAGAGAAGCCAACATGGAAGGGAGAGGGAGGGAGTGACGGGGAGAGGGAGGTGAGAAAAGGAGGGGGAGAAACAGAGGGAGAGAGAGGGGAGGGGAGGGGAGAAAGGGAGAGGAAGGGGTGAGGGGGAGAGGGAGAGGAGAAGTGTGGGGAAGGAAGAGAAACAGAGGGGGGAAAGAGAGGGAGAGGAAGAGAGGAGAGATAGAGGGAGGGGAGAGGGAAGGGGGAGAAAGGGAAGGGGAAGAGAGAAACGGGGGAGGAAGAGAGACACAGAGAGAGAGACAGAGAGAGACATACAGAGAGAGACAGAGACAGAGACAGAGACAGAGACAGAGAGAGGCGATACTTAAAAGCTGTATTTGGGAGCAATACTTTTTCACTGAGTGTACGTCGTCACTAAAATCCAGTGTCTAGGTTCACAATTTTCTTGACCCCAGGAAACACGATGAAAACCACTAATTAGTATTTTGACTGGCTACATGAGAAGAACAACACACTGTTAAAACCAAACGCAAAACTTCACAAGACGGGCAAGTGAAAACCCACAGCCTCCACTCTGCAACTGTGTCCTGAGCTGTGAAGACAGGAAAAGTCTGCCGTGCCTTGGACTGCCTCCTTCTGGAGGAGGAGTGTCAGCTGAAGGTGACTCCTTCCACTTCCGGGGCATAGGGCACTGGCAACTCTGGGAGGCCCCAAACTGGCTGCCCAGAATGTAGGTTAGCCTCAGTTTCCTTGATTTTTAAGCCCTGGAACCTAGGAAGCACCTGTCTCATCTCAGAGGTGAGGGGTCGCAGCCGAGGTGAGGGGTTGCCGCTGATCGTCAGGGAAATGAAGCCCGCAGAGGCTGAGCGAGCTGTTCTGAGTAGATGGTCCAGCAGCGTAGCTTCCGTTCTTCAGCCTGAATTGTCCCATGGTGGTCTGCTCCCATGTAGCTTCACCTGGACAGCCTCCCTAGGTGTGTCTCTGTTTGCTGTTGTGTTGGGGCCCAGGAGAAGACAGACCCTGATGTGCTGGCCATGTATCTGAGGGTATGCCACCCCCCACCCCCCCTCGTGAGCCCACTCTTGTGACAGGGACGCGGGGTGGGGTACTCCTCGTTCTTATCGCTGTGACAAAATACCCAACAGTCACTTAAGGGAAGAAGGGCTTCGAGGTTCTGTCCATGATGGCGGCGGTGTGGAGGAGGAGGCGGCCCCACCTCATGGGCAGGAAGCAGATCGCAAGGAGGGAGCTTGGCTGCAGGAATACCCCTCAAAGCCCCACTCTGCCAGTGACCACTTCCTCCAACCACACCCCACTTCTGAAAAATTCCAGAACCTTCTAAAATAATACTACCAGCTGGCTCAAAACCCAGGCCCTGGGGGAGACGCCTCATATTCAGATGACAACAGACGTCCCATGTCTACTGGGCCTTCCCACCAGCCGAGCCCTGTGGCTCCGAGTTCACCGCTGTGACTCCTACAGATATGGAGACTGAGGCTTAGGGAGAAGCAGCTTCCTTCCAGGAGGACATGTGCGCAGAGGAAGAGTTAGATCTGACTCATGATCGCCTCACAGTCCTCCCACCTACCCTGAGAACGGCCATCAGCCTCGGACAGGAGCCATTCTGGAAATGTTGCCTCGAACCTGCTGTTGCATGAGCAAACGGTGACACAGAGCACAGAGAGCCCCCTTCGTATGCTCAAAAACTGTAAGCAGAGCCTGGGGCCTCCCGCCAGGAGTCATAGCTACTTGGGAGGCAGGGGAATAGAAAGTGTGATGTTTGGGCTTCAACGTGAGTGCAAGGTCGGCCTGTGCAACCTAGGGAGACACTATCTCAAAATACGAAACATCAAAAACTGGTCTTGGGAGGTGCTTCAGGTTCAAGCCTTATCACCGGAGAAACAGGAATAATATAAATATTATGTGGATAAATATAAGTGTATCTATCTAGAGCTAGAGATGGTGGCACATGCCTACAATGCCAATAGTTAGGAGTCTAAGGTGGGAAAATTGCAAGTTTGAGGCCAGTCTGTGCTACACAGTGAGACTGCACCATCAGACATCATATACACATATGTATATGTATATGTATATGTATATGTATATGTATATGTATATGTATATATAGAGAGAAACCGCAAGCCATTGACAAGTGGCTTTGATTGGATGCTGTGTTTCAGTGATGTGTGTAAATGTACGGATGTGGATAGATATGCACACAAGTGTGTAGACACACTCAACACATCTGTAGAAGCTGAATGGAGTTATTAAGACCACAGATGATCTGTCCCAACTGAAGGAAAGATGCTTCTCTGAAGAGGAGTAAATCTAGCCGATTACAAATTGGTGCCGCCACCACTGTGGTGTCCGTGGCTTTTAGAATAATCATTGGTCAATAATCAGCATTCTGTGACAGAGCTGTGAATTGGGCGTGTTTCACCCTCACCTGAAGTTTTCTTCGTTTGCTCTGTAAATGTCCCCTCCACAAAACTCAGCAGATAATGAGATGGCATGTGCCACAAGTGTGTAACGTGTGTGCAATGGTTCTGGATAGTTTATAACTAGGGTCAGTCTCAGGTGAAACATGCTGTGACATGGCCCTGTTGCTTTATTTCACTGGGAGTCAGTCAACACCGTGGTGGGTCATTGACAATTAGTGGAGGATTTATTAAGGCAACTCCACATAGTTGCCTCCCGCCCCCACCTCAGGGGCCAATCATAGGTAGGCCTGACAGTTACCCGAAGCCTCACTGGGGGTAGTACTTTCAGGTCAAAGCTGGAACAGCTACCCATGACAGACAATTGAGCAGATGATGTAGGAATCACAGGCGTGTCCTGATGGAACTCTGCCCTGATCAGTGAGAGTTCCTCCAGGAGGCCAGCCACAGCTCAGGGCCCAACAACTGCCCTGCTGCCCCTGGGGTCTGCTGCCGTGTGGCTTGAGATGTTCATTGAGCAAGGCACTGGGGACCCTTTAACGAGGAGGAGGGCAATGTCCATGCCCTGCAGAGTGGAGGCAGAGACCTCTTCCTGTAGGTAGAAAGAAGGGGAGACGAAGGCCAGAAGGTTCGATGTGTGGGAAGTGCAGGGAGCCATCAGCAGCAGGGTAAGAGGGTTCAGCTAATACAGACTGCCCAGGTTGAGATCCGGGCAAAGTGCTATGCTCACAGTGATCAGCCAGCTGCTGCAGAAGCCATCTTAGGGGACAGGTATGGTGAGGCAGGTGGCTCAGGCTGGGAGTCATGACTGGAAGAGAGACTTACACTGGGCACCATTTGACAGAGTAGAACATGTCACAAGGAGAGAAAGGTGAGCCAGGACTCGGACCTGGAGACAGGGTGAGCTGTGAAGCCGCTTCCCGTGGTGCAGAGGGTGCAGGCGTGACAACCAGAGAAAGGACTTGGGGGGTGATGGTATGGGAGGTAAGTGAGGTCTTGCATGTCTGAAGGGAGATGGTGAGAGACAGGTGAACGAGGCTGGGTCAGGCTGTGGAGTTTTGGGGACCTCTTCCCAAATGACTGCCGTAAACCATGCAGACAGGATACCCTGTCTGGGGATAGAGACGTCTGAGGGAAACTTGGTGGCTGAGTTCTGGACTCTCAACACTGCACAAGAGGAAGGGGTCATGTAGAAGCGTGGCTCTCATCAGCTACCTTAATTCTCGGACCACTGCCATTTTCATGGAGAGGTAGTCCAAGAGTCCGAGGTCTTGAGCCTGCTTGGTGGCCCATCTTTGGGAAGCGTGGCTGTGTTGGGGTGAGCCGTGAGGGACTTGTGGTTCCCAGAAGGATTTCCATCCTGAGACTTGAATTTCTATGTCTGAATACCTGAGTCCCTAGTCTCCTCTTTGCTTGGGCCACTGGTTTGCCTAGTAACCGCGGAGGACAGGGTTGTTAGGGACCGTGAGGACTCTTGGCTTCATGTTGGTGTTCTCACTTCCCGTGGGCCAGGTCACCTCCTGGGTTTTGTGCCTTAAGTTATTTCTCTCTATCTCGTACTTCCCTGGTGTGCAGTCACGGTGCGCCCTTGGGAGCCGGTGGTGTAGGCAAGTGTTAACAGCTGCCAGCTGTAGCTCCGGAGCGTAGATACCCCGGGTCTTACCCTGACGGGAGGGGCGATCCATGGAGCCAGGGGTACTAATTCTCGTTCTGATCCTGTGCCCCCCTGGTATGTAGCCTCTCTTCTCTGCACCTCACACTTTGATGATCCCACATGATGGAGAAGAAGGCTCGCGAGCTCTGGATCTGCAAACATGCCTTCCTGCATGGGCCGTTCCCTAGTTCCACGGCAGACATCACTAGTTAATAAGGCATGCTCTGGCATTGCCCATCCATCAGACTTCAGAATCGCTCTTAGCACACAGGTCTTATCGCAGCGAGGGGTCTACAGGAAGTGCTGTGGGAAGGCGGGCTCACACAGCAGGACTGAGCAGTTCTCGGCATGGGATGGGCAGCTGTCCGGGAAGAAGGGTGGTGCTGGCCTGGTGGAGACGTTGGACCGTTGGACCGCCCTCGGATGGAAGTCTCAAAGCGGGGGAGGAGGGTCTGTGGGAAGTGCGCTGCTTCACCTGTGCCCTGGGAGTTCCCGCTCATCAGGGACAGCGCTGGGGTTAGTCTGCCCTGAAGTGAGAGTGTAGGACACGTGGACACAGGTGTCACTGGACAGCAGAGCTTGTGGGATGCTCCAGAGACGGCGATTTGTCACCAGGTATCCAGTCCCCACCTCTTTAAAACTTTATTGTTATTTATCTTATTGACCAAAAATAAGGACATAACATTGTGTGAGTAGAGTGTATGTGTGTGTGTGTGTGTGAATGTGTGTGTGTGTGATTGTGTATGTGTGAGTGTGCATGTATATGTGTGTGTAGGTGTGTTTGTGTGTGTATGTGTATGAATGTATGTGTATATGTGAGAGTGTGTGTGTGAGTGTATGAGTATGCATATATGAGTATGTATATGTGTGTGAATGTATGTGCATGTATGAATGTGTGCATGAGTGTGCATATAAGTGTGTGTGTGTATGTTTATACATATGTATAAATGTGTGCGTATGCATGTATGACTGTGTACGTGTGTAGATGTATATGTGTGTGTATGAATGTGTATGTGTGTGTATGAATGTGTATGTGTGTGTATGTGAGTGTGTGTGCATATATGAGTATGTGTGTATGTATGTGTATATGTGTGTAAGTGTGTGTAGGTGTGTTTGTGTGTGTGTGTGTGTGCATGTGTGTGAGTGTGTGTACGTGCATGTATGAGTGTGTGTGGGTGTGCATATGGAAGCCAGAGGTTGACTTTGGGTGTCTTCTGCCACTTTATCTTTGGAGAGGGGTGCTTACTGATTGGCTAGACTTGCTGGCCAGGCAGCTCTGAGATTGATGGGGAGGGCCCAGCCCATGGTGAGTGGAGCCATCCCTGGGCTGGAGGTCCTGGTTTCTATAAGAAAGCAGGCTGAGCAAGCCATGAGGAGCAGGCAGTAAGCAGCACCCCTCCATGGCCTCTGCATCAGCTCCTGCCTCCAGGTTCCTGCCTTTCCATGATGATGGACTGAGACATGGAACTCCGAGGGAGACAAAGCCTCTCCTCCGAAAGTTGCTTTCATTCACGGCTTTCATCACAGCAACAGAAAACAACCAGGACAGAAATGACCGTCTCCGCCCTTCCTGCTCTAGGGTTCAGACACATGACTGACAGAGCCATTCCCCAGCCTCATAATGTTTATTTTTAAGTCTTTTCTATCCCGGTTGCTTTCTGTTGCTATGATGAAAACCATGACCAAAAGCAACTTTTGGAGGAGAGGGTTTGTCTCCCTCAGCTCCACACCTCAGTCCATCACCATGGAAAGGCGGGAGCCTGGAGGCAGGCACTGATGCAGAGGCCATGGAGGGGTGCTGCTTACTGGCTTGCTCCCCATGGCTTGCTCAGCCTGTTTTCTTATAGAACCCAGGACTACCAGCCTGTGGATGGCCCCACCCATAATGGGCTGGGCCCTCCCCCATTAATCACTACTTAAGAAAATGCCCCACAGTCCAGCCTGATGACAGCATTTCTTCAGTTGAAGTGGACACTTAATGGAGAGACTGGGAAGGTAATTTTTAATTAGCTGATTAAGAAGAGTACTCTGTCACCAAGTGGGGCTGCCATTATGTATGTCTGTGTTCTTTATTCAGGATTTGAGTCTCAACCTACGTGACTTACAAGGTGCTAAGATGTGTGTGTGTGTGTGTGTGTGTGTTCATGTGTATGTGGATGAGTATGCACATGTGGGCAGGTATGTGGAGGCCAGATGTCAACCTTGCATGTGGTTCTTCAGGTGCCATCCACCTTGGTTACTTTGAGACAGGGTCTTCCATTAGGACCTGGGGTGTGCTGACCAGGCAGGCCGGCCTCTGAGCCTCAGGGATCCTCCCGTCTCTGCCTCTTTGGTGCTGGGATTGCAAGCTGTGCCAACAGCCTGGCATCTTACATGGGTTCTGTGTCACAAACCCTGTCCCTGGGAAGGTCAGGATGAAGGGCCCTTCTCTCTAAGTGACAACCTGTCTGTTTCTCATGTACAGATACGAGGACCAAGGGACAAGGTGAATTTGGAGGTTCCCAGTGTAGATCTTTTTTTTTTTTTTCTTTTTCTCAATTCAGATGCATGGAGGGAGACAATGTAGCATCAGAAGACTGCTTACATCTGGGGATTTTGGTCTTTCAAAGTGACGAGTTCATTACCCACCTGTACCAGCAGAGATGTCTTCAGGGACCTCGTGTGGACCAGAAACCATCAACAATAAACGCTTCCTGCATGAATGATGATTGAATGAATGAACAAATGGATGATCCTGTGTGTTCTGGCTCCACAGTCAGAACTCATCCTAGCATAGAGCGTGTTTACAACATCAAGCCCTAAACACAGGGCCTGCTCCATCCCTGGGCTCCACAGCCCTCCCCCTGCTTCTGCCGTGGGGGAGACAGCTAGTGGTTTCTGTGTGGTGCCGGAGACAACTCCCGGTTTCTCAGAAAAGCCTTTATTTTACTTTACTTTGTTCTGAACTTGAGTGTGAGCAAGCACAAGACTGTCAAGATGCTTGTAACCTGAGTGTGGGGGACCACGGGCGCTGAGCAGAGGCCAGGCTGGGCGGGGGTGGGGGTGGGGGTGGGGGTGGCGTGTAATCTGCTAAGGAAGCTACTCTCCTTGCAGGCTGCGGCTGAAACGCAGGAGAGAGACATCTGGTCAACCTTCTTGAGGCTGGCTTTGGGTTCTAGCAGAGCAAAAAGAAAGTGGGAAAAGGGAGAGAAACAAGACGTTCATTCTCTGCCTGTGGCATTCCAGCATCAGCTAGCTGGAATGTGAACCTTCTCCTGAGGCTCACAGCGTGCTGTGGGCAGGTGCCACCCCAGCCTGGAAATGCAGGAAGGGTTAGAACTGTGTGGTTGGGCCACCAGGATGTTGGGGTGCTACTGGGGGCTGGGCTGGGCTGGGCTGGTGGAGAGCAGGCAGCATTAGGCTTTGGCAAGTTAATTAGGGTTCACAAGTGGAGCCTGTGAGCTGGGAGAGAGGACAGATTTGCATAAAGTCCATTTACATAATGTTCCTGGAGAATTGCACAAGCCAGGAGGCTGCTGGCTGGCAGGAGGGGGAGGGGAGGCGGGGAAGATGCCTAAGCAGCCCAGCCAAAGGGGGCAGGACAAGGCCCCTCCCTCACCCCTGTGCCATTGGCATCATCCACCCTCAGCAGCCCATGCTGTGCTCACCACCTCTGAGGCTCAGAGCCCACAGGGTCCCAAACTACTTCTGGGGTCAGGGTCCCTTTGGCTGAAACCTTGGGGGCTCTCTGCTGTCCTCAGTGTGGGCCCCCACCTCCTTAGCTAGCCTACATGGTCATCCTGGAGGATTGTCCCCACCACCCTCTGGACCCCATCATCCCCCGGGTCCCCCTTTTTCTTTCCCAAGCTCCATCTCATCCAAGGATTTGAGCGCTGGCCTTACTCTGCTCTCTCTGTCAGTTGCCTCTGAGACAAGCCCCTGACCCCCTCTTGGGACATTTCCAGGTGTCCCTGTGTCTCCATCATGTGGCCAAGGGGCTTTTGCTCAGCTGTGTGGAGATTCCAAGGGATGCAGCAGGTCCTGGGAGCAAGTGTCTTTGCCTTTCAGAGAGTGAATCTCCTAATAGAGGGCCCGACTCTTAGAGGCCTGTGTCCAGCTGGGCAAGGGCCTGCTTGAAAACAGCAGGCACCCAACCAAAGTGGAATGAGTGAAGGAGAGATGCGCATACCCTGGCCAGGGCTGGAGAGCAGGCTCCAGCCTGGCTTTAGTTTTTTTCTAGATCTCTTATCACCAACAACAGACCCTGTGTTAGAAGCTGTGTGGGAGGGAAATACTGGGGTGGGTTCCCCCAGGGAGGGAGATCTAAGGCAGACACAGGCAAGCATCTCAAGTGGTCGATAGCATGTTCAAGAACAGGGCCTGGGGAAGCAGACGGGGCTAAGCCGGATGGAAGAGGCAATGACTGAGGGTCTCAGGTTCTCCCTGGAATTAGACCTGGCAGGCTTTGGGAGCCCCAGAAGCTTGTAAGCAAAGAAGAGAAAGGAGATTTCTAGCTACATGAGCAGCTACTAAGCACTCACCTAATGGACCATACGGATGCTTTCTGCTTTAAGAGCTGTTCAAACAGAACCTTCTAGACGGTTCTAGAAGTTTTGTCCAACACAGTCGCCTCGGGCCTCGGAAGCTACAGTGGATCTGAATATCTGATGAATACCTGAATCTTAGATGTATTCCGATTTCATCTGAACACTCACAGGCAGGTGAAGGCATGTAGCATGTGCATGAAGTGTTTCCTTTTGTGGAGGCCTGTCCAGGGCTCCTTCCGTCTTCCTGTCTTTCCCTCTCCTGTCGGTGACTCTTTCTGAATGAGGCATCCCCGATGTCTCTCCCACCTATTCCTGGACATTCACCCACGCTTAGGTTTAATTTTAGCTGATTCTCTCTCAAGGACAAAGTCTATATTTTTATTTTAATTTATGTCTCCTGAACCGCTTCCAACTTTTACTTTTAGAACTGTCAGGATCGGTGACATGTGGCGTTTTAGGTACTTTTCTGCTGGTGGGTCCTAAATCTATTGTCATTTTATGTCACTTGGCAAAATGTACGAAATGCCAGAAGCGTTATAAACAGAGACAATTTATGTCCTGGGTGGGGGAGGTTAAGAGAATGAATATAATCCAGTTTTTTTTTTTTTCTTTTTCCAGAGACTTTTCCATCAGTGTGAGAACTGGCAGGTGTCTGTTTGACACCCTGTGGGGAGGATTTTCCCAGTTCAGGCTCAACTGCTGTGGCTCACCACCCCTGCCCAGGGGTGGGGCACTTAGCCTGGGCACCTAGTGTGGGGCCATGCTCACAGGAGGCCCTCCTTGAGTCTGCTGGAGGGAAGGATGAGAAAAGGGAGGCGTGCATGGGAATTCTAAAGGCCTTTGGTTTCCAGTCCCCTCCTTCTGGCCATGCTGCTCCAATTCTCAAAGACTTTCAGTAGCTCCCTAGTACCCCATGTGCTGATGGGCAGAAGCCTACGACTGCAGCCCAGTGTGCCTGGGTGACCTGCAGGGCTCCGAGTTTCGAGTCCTCTGTAATGGGCTCAAACGTCTGTCCTTGCAAACTCTCATCCCTTTGTGCCCCCCTCAAAGATTGCTGCAGCAGCTCCCTCTCTGGTGAGTCCCTGCTGCTCCACACCTGCCTGTGCTGCTGGGCATCTCACACATCCCTGGAGGTGACACTAAGGACACTCGGACCCGTCCTCTCCGTTATCCAACAGGTGCATGAGAAAACATCACAAAACGACATAAACCATACTAGTGTGGTGAGACCTTGGGTGTGAGCGACGGAGCCACGGGGATAACCCTAATAGTGTTTCCAAGCCAGGAGGGCCACCTCATTTATCCCTTCTGTGACTCTGTTGTGCTCCCCATTTTAAAGATGAGAAAACAAGCCCCGAATGGCAAAGCTACTTAGCTGAGGTCACACAGCCAAGTGTTTGGACCCCAGTGCTTAGGGATTCCAGAGTCTCCTTACCTAGGCTGATGTTGGAAAGCATGGGTGTTTAGTGGGAAGGATCCTGCCAAACCCTGGGGCCTCCCAAAGCTTCCTCCCCCCACCCCCCGCCCCACATCTGTAAAGAAAAGGGCTGTGGTGGGGGGGACCAGGCTGGCTATGGCCTGCAGAGAAAGCGCTGTGCAGATGACCCTGTTAAAATTCATGTGGCTTCAGAAATTCAGTGTTGACTCGGGTGCTGCAAATAGGTATGAAAATTCTGAGGGAGGCCTAGTATTGTTACTGAAATCAAATGGTTGAAGGGCCGCTAATGAGGCAGAGGAGGGCCTTCCATCACCATGGAGGACCTGGGGCGAGGAGGCTGCATTATTCATGCTCTCTTGTTTGAGTTTAAACCTCAAGGAGGGTCTGGGAGGGGCAGAGGAGGGGGTGGCAGCTCAGGATGGGAAGGCCAGTGACTGCTGCTGGTCCATTGCTCCAGGTTAGCTGGGTCCGGGCTATGCTCACCTGGATCTCCTCACCACAGCAGAGAGGACAGCTAGGGGTACAGCCTCAGGGGGACGTGCTCTATGTGTGCTGGGTGTTTGTGTGTGTGTGTGTGCGCGCACAAAACTGCCATGGGCCTCAGTTTCTTCTTCCCCTGTAAAATGGGACAGTGATTCTTCTCCCCAATTAGCTCCTTCCTCCTCTTCCCTCCCTCCCTCCCTCCTTCCCTCCCTCCCCTCCCTCTCCTTCCTCTCCCTCTCCTCCCTCTCCTCCCTCCCTCTCCTCTCCCTCTCTCCCTTCATCCTCTCTTTCCTTCTTTCCCTCTCTTCTTTCCTCTCCTTTTGTTTTGGAGCTCAGGGTCTTGCTATGTTTCTGACCATGAATTCACCATGCAGCCCAGGCTAGCCTTCAGTCTGCTGTCCTTTCCCCCACAGTCTCCCATGTGCTGGATGACAGGCATGCTCCATCAGGCAAGGCTGTGTGATAGAGGGTCAAAGGTTACATGGCTGAGCCTCTGGTTGAAGCTCCTGAAGTGACTGGGATCTAGTTCTGTGGATTTGGAGCAGAACTGAGCTCACATCTCCACTTTCCACAGATCTAAAGATGAGTCAGGTTACCCCATCCTGTGAACAGTCAGAAGAGTCCACAGAAGGGTGTTCCATGGGGGTCAATTGGCTGATCCAAAGAGTCTGTGTATTAGCACCAGGAAAGGATGTGGAAACACAGCTATCTTCATCCTGAGGCTCTGCAGTCATTGGCTGAACCCAGGTCTCCATGCCTGAGGCTCTGCAGTCATTGGCTGAACCCAGGTCTCCATGCCTGAGGCTCTGCAGCCATTGGCTGAACCCAGGTCTCCATGCCTGAGGCTCTGTAGCCATTGGCTGGGTTCAGGCAGCCTTCACTTTAACCCTCTTGCCCTGAGGTCCTCACACACCCAAGTTTTGTGTTTCTCTGCTGGTGCCCTCTCTCTGTCCTCTGTCTGCACTTCAGCACCCATCCCTTCCATCTGCTAATCACACTCTTCCATCTTCCCGGAGCAAAGCCACGGTCGAGGGAGACCCTGAAGAACCAATCTCCCCTGGAGGAGGATGGGGCGCTGCCTCCAGGGCGATCTATTCTCAGTGGAGAGTCAACCTCCCTTACACCAAATATCTATGAGAATTATGAGAGGCATCCCAGTGGAAGGAGGATTGTGAACAACCAAGGCATCCCTCCATTGCTTGTAGCGGTCGTATGTTTGGTAACTGTGG